GAACCCTCTTAGATTAATTACATGTTAAGATGTATCCTATAGACAATTCGGGTCTTTCGCCTGTATCGGAACCGCATTGATCTGTATATCAGTCTACAAATACATCATGCATTATTTGTTTCATCCTCTATAACTTCACTTTCAGGATCTTTAAGAAGAGGCTTCTTCAATGTGTCTTCATCCTCAGCAACATTTTTCTCCTTGGTTTTGCCCCATTGTACTAAATAAAGGCCTACCGTAATCAGAACTGCACCAATTACACTACAAAAACCAAAAAAGGAAAATGGTAAGCTCAAAATATGCCATGATCAATGCATAGATAGCTAGCTAGTTCCCTTTTCATACCGCCCGGAGTATAATTTGTCACCGAGAATTACAAATGCCATGATCGCCACTAAAAGTGTCTGTAAAGGCTGGAAGACGGCTACGAAAACAGGGCTGCCTTTGTGAATACACCATGTTTGTAGCGAAAACACAATACCACATGCCACAACTGCCTGAGAAAGAAGCAAAGAGTTTACACGATGAAACGTCGTGCGAAAGAGAATAGATCAATACATTGTTTCAATATGCAACACTGGAACAAAAGTTTCTTACAGCATAGAGAATGGTGAAAAGCTCTTCCATCGATTGGATTTTCCAGTTATTGAAATCTGTTTCCACAAATGCTGCTATGAACAAGAACTGGATGTGCCCGAAGAAGCATGTAAACGAAGTGAGTGTGAGTTTAGCTGGATACTTCTTCAATACAGGAGCCTGCAAAATCTCGAATGATTATATGTTATACTATCTATTTAGGTAAGTATGTATATGTCGATGGTTTGGAACTAGCGGACTAACCAGGAAAACCAACCAACCAGCTCATGATAAGCAGTGGCCAAGGAGGTAAATGCATCCCCAAGTCCAGTTCTGAATGTTTTATTGGTGCAATAGAAGGGGGCCTTTGTAGAGAGTAATTATAGTGGCACCCCTATACTTAAAATGGTTCCCAACACCTTTGCCAATCCATGTCTTTTTGCAATATCGTTATGTTCGAGTCTGAACACGAATAAGAAAATAAACAAATCCATCCTATTTGTAAACATTGTCATTGTTTTATGAAACTGGTTTACCGTAGAGCAGCAGCTGCAACAAAAGTAATTGCAGGAACCAAGTTTTGCATCGCCGAAGCGAATGTCGGGGATGCATAATACAATCCCAGAAGGTAAATCCCTGGTTTGCAGTGATTCTGAGTTGCATACAGAACGTAAAATAAGCTAATAAACAACTGTTTCTAGCTAATTGATTCATCTCTTAGACTCTTACCCCAGTAATGCCAGAAGAAAGAACTGAACCAGCAAAGGAAAAGTAAGGGGTGGCCTTTCCTTCCTGAAGAACATTAAACACCACAAATTCAAAACATATTCCAATAATCAAAAGTCGTTATGGCTCACTTTTCCAAGAAGTAATCAAAGGGGCTCAACAAAAGCAAAGCAATGATGTTCCTGTAACAGGGTAAACTACTTTGCTGACACCAACGTTCAGTGCAACCCTGGAAACAACGTGGAACCCTGCAAAGCAAAAATGAAGTTTGACCAATGCTAGAACAAGCTTCATTTTCTCAGAAACAATTCTCTTGTGCCATTGTTTACTTGGTTGAGGTATTATCACAAACAAAAGTTGCTCAAACTATATAAACAAGCATGGGAAGAACCTTTTCTGAGCAGCAAGACGCCTCTAAAGGTACATGCAACATGTAATTTTTATGGAATATTCATGGCAGTGGGGGCCTTGTCAGTTGCATGTAGTCCTTTAATCATCTGGCTTACTTTTTTTTCTTCCCTATATTGACTTATAAATGATTTGGATTTTGTTGGGGGAGACAAGAGGGAGATTTAGCATGTTGGACAGGTATGAAGAAGAGGCCAACTTGAACTTGTTTCACAATCCTTTCATGACCTCATCACCCAGGGTCAAGTCCAATGGTCAAAATCAAATTATAATTTCTTTAAGGGTTAAAATGTAAATTTGTCGTTTTTTAGTTTATGGTTATATGACTTAAAGGTGTATGAAATTCTCAAACTTTTTTTTATAAAAATATCAGTTTAACCCCTGATTTTTTGCACCCATAGCCTTCGAAATTTTATCAATTCACCTCTTTGATCAACGTCGATTTAACATTTTTTGGACTAGTTGGTGTCCCATATCATATTACGATCTTGTCGAGTGATATTTTCAAGATTTTATTAAATTTTTAGAATTTTAATATATTTTTTAAAATTTCAATTATAAATTTATAAATTCCATGTGATAAAGAACTGCAATGTACTATATAACATTAATATCTTATAAAAAAAATTATTAAGACCTAATGGATAAAATTCAATAGCTTAACTTTTTTTTAAGGTCAAGGGCTTCACGCACCCGTTCGCTTAATTATTATAGGATTCACCTACGCCTAATGTAAAATTTTTAGTTTTATACTCTTATAGAATCGTTGGATTAGAAAAAAATTAAAGGTTGAGATTAACTTTTATTTTTTTCCAGTGAATACTTTCTCATTTCCTAATATTAATCTCATCTCTTAATTTCTCATCGTCCAACGATCCTAATATATAAATAAGAATGCTAAACTGAAATTCTATATTTTCAAGGGATCAGAATATAATTTTACTTTAACCTTAAAACTTTCAAGGGATTAAAATTGAAATATTACCACTAAGGGGCCATGGGCTGCCCCTACCCTTCTTATTTCACATAGCATATGTTTGGTATAACTCCAATCTCAATAATGTGCAAAATCTATAAACTAAAAATTGAGATTCTTACAAAAAGAAAATGTTTGTCTCATCTCAATTATTGAAACAAAGTGATTGAATCAGTTATGCTTATTTGATTGGCAGATTGATGAACTCGGGAAAAAGTTTAATGTTTTTTAAATATTTCGAATTATTTTATTTTTTAAAAAAGGGTAAATTATGTAGTTAGTACCTAAACTATTATTTTTAGTCTATTTCAGTACTTAAACTTTCAATTTTTTCAAAGTCGCATCTAAAGTTTAATTTTTGTTTTATTTTAGTACACCCGTTAAAAACTTTAGTTTTTATTTCATTTTAGTATCTCCGTTCAATGTTTAACTTTAAGTTTTGAAAAGATTGAAAGTCCAGGTACTAAAACGGACAAAAACTGACGGTTTATGTACTAAATGCGTTAAGTTTTTAATGGTGGGATACTAAAATGAAATGAAAACTAAATGTTAGGCATAGTTTTGAAAAAATTGAAAGTTTAGATACTAAAATATATAAAAATTAATAGTTTAAATACTAAATGCATAATTCACTCTAAAAATATATTAATTTTTAATATGATCTAACGAGTTTATTTGAGTCGGGACAATATCAAACATGAAACGTTTTCCCATGTAGAGAAGATAAAAGGCAGGAAATTATAGTTGGGGAGTGGAAAATCTAAGGTGAGATTCATGAACCTAGTTTTGTAAATGACAATTAGTGGGAATATTCGTGGTCTGTCTGGACACCCTAATCGGGAGAGGTGTCAATCACTTTTATTAACGTTTATGCTCCTTCGGATCAAGCAACCAAAAGGGTATTGTTCATGAATCTCAGGTTTGAGTTCCCCAGTCATTGTGGCTGGAGATTTTAATGCAGTGTTGCATGCAGAAGAAGAGTTGGTGGTTCGGCTAGCTCTTCGACAACGAGGGATTTTGCGGATTTCGTCCATGTCAGTAATGTGGTAGATCTTCCGTTGGAAGGGAGCAAATTTACATGGTTTAGAGGAGGCTCTTCTTTGTCAGCAAGTAGGTTGGACATTTTCCTGGTGTCATCAGATTTTTTTAGTTTGACTGCCGAACCTAATCCAACATTCTTTCCAGGAGCTTGTCGGATCACAACCCAATAGTGTTGGAAACTAAAGTCGGTGGAAAAAGGGTGAGACCATTTAAATGGTTCTTTTGTTTGGTGGAAGACTCTAATTATGTGAACCTGATCAAGGAAGTGTGCGGTAGATGCAAGAACAAAGGCATGGTTGCGTTGTTGGAAGAAGTAAATGAGGCTTCGAAACAGTGGGTGTCGGGCTTAAAGTCTAAGGATCTATCTCAACAACCGATCTAGAAAAAAAAAATCCAGGACCTGGAGGAAAAGTCTTGGCCGATTCCAACAATGAAGTTCTAGGTGAAATCAGATCCTAATAGAACGAGTTATGGGCAAGATACAGAAGAAGAAAGGGAATGGCTTCAAAAATCAAGACTAAAGTGGTTAAGGTGGGTAATCATAACACGAAAATTTTCCATCTTACTGCGGCAAGGAGAGTGCGTGTCAATTCGTTAACAAAAGTAAGACTCGGGAACATTGTGGTCCAGAATCCGAAAAAGATATCTAAGGCTTTCGAGAACCATTTTAAAATTAATTTTAATGAGGTTAAAACCATTCCAGTAAAGAAGTTGGATGATGGATAGAGTACTATTCGACCAAGCTCTAAGCGTGCGCTGGAGGTCCCTTTTCGGAAATCGAAGTATGGAATGCCATTAGTTCTATAAACGGATCGAGAGCTCCGGGTCCAAATGGCTTTAACCTCGATTTTCACAAGAAAATCTACTAAGGGAATTCTACTAAGGGAAGCAACTTGATGATTCTTTGGGGCACTCGTTCATTGCTTTAATCCCAAAAAGAATTGCTCCAGAAACTTTAGAGGATTAATTATAGGTCGATTTCCCTTGTGGGTAACCTGTATAAGATCCTGAAAAAAGTGGTGGGTGACTCTCAGTTCGCCTTTATGTCAGATAAACAGATATCGGATTGCGCTCTAATTGCAAACGAGGTTGTTAACGATGTTATTAGAAGGAAGAGGAAACAAGTCATCTTAAAAGTGGATTTTAGAAAAGGCCTATGATTCAGTTGACTGGAATTTTCTTGATTTCGTTATGAGAAGAATGAAGTTTGGTAAAAGATGGAGAAAGTGGATTAGGTATCGTGTTTCTGCTGCTTCTATATCTGTTTTGGTGAATGGAGTGTCGTCGGAGAAGTTCAAGTCCAAGAAAGGGCCGAGGCAGGGGTGTCCTTTGTCCCCCCTTGTTGTTCAACTTGGTTGGCGAAACTCTTAGTTGTCTCTTCAAGAAAGCGTTGGATGTAGATCTGATTAAAGGCATTAGACTGGTCAACTCAGATGTAGTAGTTTCGCACATTCAGTTTGCAGACAATCTGCTGGTTTTCTCGGAGGCTAATGAAGGCTCGCTAGTGAATGTGAAGAGAATTTTAAAAATATTTGAAATGGCAGTTGGTCTTAGTCTCAATCTGAAGAAATCAAAGCTAGTCAGATTTAATGTAGCGCCGAAAATTTCAGCAGAATGGGCTTCTCTCATCCAATGTTCGCAAGATAGTTTACCTATGTCCTATCTTGGTCTTCCAGTAGGTAACCGAAGGAACTCGAAAGATTTATGGAATCCCATAATTGATAAAGTTCAAACTCGGTTAGCAGGTTGGAAAGGTAAGTTACTTATTCGTTCGGTCCTAGCCAATCTTTCTGGTTACCTTTTATCTTTGTTTAAAATGCCTTTGCCGGTGGAAACGAAGTTGAGATCCCTGATTTCAAGTTTCTTATGGGGATTGTCTGGTGGAAGGCCTATTCAGTGGTGAGTTGGGAGCAATTTGCAAACCAAAGTGTTTAGGGGGCTTGGTTTGGTCGATCTTGGGTTGAAAAATAATCCCTTCTAAAGATATGGGTGTGGAGGTACGGCAAGGAACCAAAAAATTTGTGAAGAAGGGTCGTGAGTTCAAAAAACGATTATCAACAGAATGTCGTGCTACTTCGCAGATCCCGGCTAGGAAGATGTCGTACAAAAAACGATTATCAACAGAATGTGGAGCTACCTTTGTAGATCCCTGATTTCTGGACAGAAGTTCCTTCGTTGAGATTATCTTTTTCGCTGATTTATGATTTGGCCTTAAACAAAGCTAGTTACTTTAATGAGTTTGGTAGCAAATTTCATGGTGTATGGCATTGGTCCATAGAAATTAGTAGACCTCTTTCGGACGCCGAAGTTCCATGTTGGGAAGATTTTATTGGAACTCTAAATCGAGCCACTCTTAGTAGCAGTTCTTCGGATATGCTGGTTTGGTAGGGTTTTCCTAACGACATCTATTCTCCTAGAATGTTCTGTCGTGGCGAGGTTGATTCTGTTGCGACGAATGACAAAGTCTGGAAGTTGTTTAGGAGGTAAATGTTCCGCCTAAGGTAGCAACCTTCACTTGGAAGGTTATTCTGAGTAGGATTCCTGTCCGCGCCGAGTTGACTAGGAGAGGGATTCTGTCGGTAGGTACGCTTGCTTTTGCGTTTTTTGTCAAAAAGAATCGGAAATGGTTAATCATCTCTTTGTCATTGTGTGAAGATATGGTTTTCAGCAGAAATGGTTCTCAAAGTGGAATTTCAGTTTACTTGCTCGAGTAACGTAGTCTCTCTTCTGTTTTGGTGTGGTATTTCGTTCGGAATGGATGTCGTTTAATGTGGAAGCTAACTTTCTTTGGTCTATTTGGTTGCATAGGAAAGAGGTTATTTTCAAAAATAAAAGTTATGATGCAGATTCCGTAGTCGATTCGGCTATTGGTTTGACAGCTTTCTGGAGCAAATGCTTAAGCTCGGGACCATTCTTCTTTGCGTCGGATTTTTCAGAAATACTAATGAACTGATTCTGCTGAGATAGCTTTGTTGGTGAACTGTTTAGTCTAGTGGTTCTGGATTGCAGTGTGCGCCTTAGTGTTCTGAAGGTGCAGTATTCTGGCTGGTTGCTGCTCGAAGAAGAGTTTCTTTTTTTCACGGCTGCTCGTGCGGTCTGCTACTTGCTCATCTCAAAGTTCATTGTGTTGATTGTTGAGAAGTCAATTTCGGGGCTTCTCTAAACAGCAGTTTCGTATTCTCCCTGCTGCATTTTCTTGTTTTGTGGTGTTCTTTCATTGCTTATCTGTAGTGCAAGTGTTTTAGTGATTAATTAAATATATAATTATTATCTCTAGAAGTTTCGAGTTTAAACGTTAACGAGTGCAAGGTTGATAAGTATGTTGCAGCAACCAAGCTCAATTCACAGTTAAGGTGTAGATTACGAATATTGTCCGGGTCTTCGATTGCTCGTGAGACGCCGGGTTTCGGAAATTCGGGTTGTATATCTTCAATGAACCTGCAAAGGAAGATTAACATGTGCTGGACCCTTCAGATGGTATAAATCTTAAGTTTTAACCCATAATCACGGGCGAGTGTACATTATAAAGGAAGAGATATCAATAATGCAATAAATGCTTCATTGTCCATGCTTAATTTTAAGGGACCCCAAGGGTCGATAAAAGGTTAACAGTACGGAGCCGAAATATCAATATGTCGGATATCTGTGATGTACATCTGTGATCTATCAAATCATCAATCGTTGGTTTGTTCTTGGATAGCTTAGAATTTTCCACAAAGCAAGTGGTACCTCAAGGCGAGGGAATCACTTTAACCATGATAAACAAATAGCATCCGAATGTTTGACAGATGCCTTAAGCTATCCCTTCACGGAACTCAACATAATTAGGTCAGGCCATTAGGAAGGGCGCTCTCCCACCGTTGTTTTTCTTCTTCCTGCAGAGCTGAAACCTTGCTTAATGGACATGGAGCTGATGAAGATCATCTTGAACTGCAAGAAACAAACTAGAAACCACATAGCATACTAAGTGAAAATAAGGGAAAGGGTTAAAGAAAAGGAGGGAGGGAAGGGGAAGAGTAAAAAAGAGGGGTTGAAGGTGATGATGACAGAAGCATAGAGAGCACAAAGGAGTGGGATGCACATTGCACACCATCATCAGTGCTCTCTATCTTCTGTCAACAACAAGCACCAGTGCCTCCTCTATCTCTTTCCCATCCTCCTCCTCCTGTTGTTTTAATTAAACAATCATTACAACAAGTGGAAATGTTGCTTTAAAAGGCAAGTGAGAAAGGGAAAGGAAAATAATAAAGGAGTGAGAAGAAAACCTGTAGGGGGGATGGTCTATTGCAGGACTCCCATAGCCCTCTATTTATAGAAAGAAATGGTAAGGTAGGGCAGATGGATAACTGGATGTTTCTAGGGGAGGTACCAACAATTCTCAACTCTTTTCATAAAAGGATAGTAAAATTTTTCCTTTTGGGGATACCTACTCCCTTTTTAACTTGTCATCTCCTTAACAACCCTAATAGTGCAACTATCGTTCTTAAAACTCCCAACCCTAATTTGATCATATTAGTGTATTTAATAATTAAAATTATTGTTTAGGTTAATTAAGTGAAACAGAATTTCAGTTTCAATGATCTTGTGGCAGCTTTGAATAGGATATGCCATGTGCAATAGGATTTTTTATCTGCAATTCAAATCTTGTAAGATCAATCATTTTTACAAAGTCAGAAACCAGCATGTTGTGGGCTGTAAAACCTTTAGGTCATTTTTGGCAAGTTGTTAAGATCATGCATATTTTCTTGTTGACTTGTCATGATTGATATACGTGAGACCCACCATGCTAAATGCATTCAATTTCATGTATTGGAATAGGGACCGAATTAGCATGAAACTTCAGGACAAACGTAAATGGTCCACAATTCAATATATTTATTTTCTTTTATTAAAGGGTAAAGTACACAAATGGTCCCCGACTATAGGTAATTCCTCTGACTCTAGAATGTTGCTTTGTTAAGTCCATTAACTATTAAAAGTTACAAAATTATCACTCGATTATTCATTATGTTCCAAACTCATCATTTTCTGTTAAAAATTTGAGGATTGTATAAGTTGGATGTTAACATGATAACTGATATATGATAGTCATTTGAAATTCTAGGATTATAATTTATCATATCATAGTTAGGATGTTAACATGATAACTGACATATGATAGTCATTTGAAATTCTAGGATTAGAATTTATCATATCATAGTTAGCATGTTAGTGTTTAGCTCAGATACCGTCAAATTTTTAATAAAAAACGAGTTTAAAACATAATGAATAGTCGGGTGACCATTTTGTAACTTTTAATAGTCGAGAGACTTAACAAAACAACACTGTATAATCATGGGATTATTTTATAACTTTTAATAGTCAATAGACTTAATAAAGCAGTACCCTATAGTCGGAAGACCATTTGTGTACTTTACCCTTTATTAAATTAAATAAATGAATTTATTTATAGACTTTAATGGTAAAAGAAAATATGATCTTCATATAAGACCCAAATAGCTACAATGATAGTACGTGTGAACTATTAATAAAACAAAGAAAAATTTGAACAAATATTACTCATTATCATATAATTTTTAGTGGGACTTATGAACAATTTTATCATTTAGGAATGTTAAAAACGAATAAAATGTGTTCAATTCATTTATGTTTTTTAACAATTTTGTTTATGAATAATTATAACCGGTTTAAAACTCATTTATTGTTTGATTATTATTCATAATACTATTATTTCTTGACAATTATTTTTATTTTTATATATGGTACGATTGCCAATATCTATATTTAAACTCGGTTCATTCGACATCGATTAGCCCCCACAATGCAAGTTGCCAAGAAACAAGGAAGAGCAAAAGAAGGCATCCCTTAACACACATATCTTTATCTTGTAGGGCATTGGCTTGAATCAGCTTTCACTTGCACAGTGATGGAAAAGAGGAGAGGGGGACCAAATTGGGTGGTGGGTTCTTCTACTTATTTGATTCCTACACATTTCCACATTAACCCTATATCCCTTGCTTACGTGTCAAGACCCCAATACACACCCCTTCCACCCTCATGCACCTAAAATATCTTCACTTCATGAATTCCCCATTTCACATTGCTTTTTTTTTTTCATATTTGAGATTGAAGATTTCAAATATTAATTATCTGTTCTAAAAACTTTCAATCATTTAACAATAAATATTCAAATACTTTATAATATTTAGTGATCGAATTAGAGACCTCTAAAAATAACAATCATTCCTAAATCACTCCTATAATCTAAATGGACTATAGAATAATGTTTATTAAAAATTTTGATATATCTTATAGTTTTACTTTTTATCGTTTCGGTATCTTTTATGCTCATGAAAGAAGGGAGAAAGGGTAATGTTTAGGTGTGGGGAATGGGACCCATCCCCTAAAGCATGCTGTTTTGGGGAATGAATATTATTGAAGTTTGTGCTTTTCCCCTTTTGGATTGGGATATGGTGGGATGACGTAATGAAAAGAATCTCTTGTTTCATCGGTTGCCTTGGTTTAGCGTTGGGGTGCTTTTATTGGTTCCTTTCACATGTACATGAGATGAGCAGTTGTATTTTCAATATATATATATATATATATATATATATAATTTAAATAATTTTTATATTATTCATTAATAATTTAATTATATGTTTATAAAATTTTGTACCTTAAATTAAATATTTTCTTAAAAGTCTTGCATATATCAATATTGCCCCATGTATATCATTCACTAAAGGCTTTCCTTGTGGATATGGGACTTGTTTTCCTTGGTGCGAGGGAAGACTATGTGTTATCATCTCAACAGTAGTATGCATTAACAGTCACATCCATAGTGTGTGACCACTCATTTTAAGCATATAACAATGAGTTCATTGGCATGAGAGGTTATCATTCCACATGTTCTTCGAAAAGAAAATAAACTAATTAATGAAATAATTAAATTGTTATTTTTTTAATCGACCGCCTGATAGGATGTTTTCTCCCTTAAGAAAGGGTCACCTAATATCCGTTAGATTATATGAATTATTCATTATTGAATTTTGTGGAATACTTTGAGATAGCACCGTATCTAAATAATGAGGTGTGACAAAATATAATGATAATTATGATCATTATTTTATTCTTTTTTATTAATTGGGGGGGGGGTTTTACAAGTAGTAATATTAGGGCCGGCTATTAGGGGAGTGTCCTAAGTGATTGCTCAGGGATCCTTTTAGGGCCCCTATTTTTTCATCTTTGTAATTAGGCCTTTAATTTTTTTATCTTATTTTTTTATCTTTATAATTGATGTCTTAATTTTATTCAATCTCACCTTTTATTTGTATAATTGAAGTCTCTAATTTTTTCAATCTCTTTTTTTACAATTATAATTGAGGTCCCTAATTTTTTTAATCCTACGTTTTAAATTTATAATTGAGGCCCTTAAGTTTTTTCAATCTCATTCTACCTTTTCTACTTTTACAATTGAGCCCTAATTTTTGTAATCTCAATTTCCATCTTTATAATTGAGGCCCCTAACTTGTTAATCCCACTTTTTTAACTTTATAATTGAGTCTCCTAAGTTTTTTTCAATCTCACTCTTTACCTTTAGCCCATAAGTTTTTTCAATCTCAATTTCTACCTTTATAATTGAGTCTCCTAAGTTTTTTTCAATCTCACTCTTTACCTTTACAATTGAGGCCCATAAGTTTTTTCAATCTCAATTTCTACCTTTATTATTGAGGCCCTAAATTTTTCAATATCAATTACACATTTATAATTGATGCCCCTAATCTTTTTTCAATCTTAATTTCTACCTTTATGATTAAAGCCTCTATTTTTTCAATTTCATAAAATTCTCAAATTTTCTTCCCTTTCTGCATCTCGTTCATGCATTTGATTTTGAATTAAATCTAATCATATTGTCTTTTTTTTTTACAAATCTCATTTTTTTCAATGTACCAGATTCTTTAACTCTTAGTCTTCTCCATCTCAATCTAACATTAAAATAATATGTTATTCTTTATTTTAAATTTATTATTCAACATCAAGCTACATATCATAATTCATAGCCACATTCGATTTTTTATACTTTTAGTCATATTTAAAATGTTTTCTTAACCAAACAGTGAAACTAATGTTTGAAAAAGTATAATCATTTTTTACAAATCAAATTAATTGTTTAAAGTAATAGAATACTTTCGTTCAATAAGAGCCTATTTTTGATTTTTCGCTCAGGACGCTGAAAATATTCGAGACCATGCTCTGATTAGTATATGTTTTAAAGACTCACAACCATTTGACAATAAACACTCAAATACTCTACAATCGTTAAATCTCGAATCTACGACCTATAAAAATAACAATCATTCTTTAACCTTTATTTTTATTTATAATTGTTCTTGAAATTTATATTAAGTCTATCTCCGAAAATTAATCTATTTTTAAGAGCCAAGCCAACTGTCCGCCCTTTTAACTATACCTTGGACAAAGTTCCCGAAACAAAACAAAGGGAAATCCAATAAATCCTAGCCAAACATTTTAAGAAAACAGTTCTCCATTAGATGTTCAAAAGACTCACATTTGTGTCTTAATCATAGACCACCAAAATATTATGCCATGCTATGGGAATTTTACTATTAAAGTTGGGTGGGAACAGTTTCATGCATTTGCTGACCCAATTTGACTCTATTATTGTTTTAAATTCAAAGTAAATTAAATTAAAAAAAATCGTCTTTATAATAGATTTATGATAGCAAGACGAAAAATCCATTGTTGAACTCTTTGACAACATGAAAAAATTAAAAGTTCTGCCCCCCCCCCCCTATCTATCAATGGAATGGAACGATGGAGGCCTTTGGTGTCCTCTTGAGACAAGACGATGGAGGCCTTTGGTGTCCTCTTGAGACAAGAATCGGGGCCTCACAATCACTAGCTAATATGTTTTTCCTTTTCTTGCATGCCTTTCTTCGTTTGTGGTTCGATATTTTAGTGTCCTAGGTGTAGATAAACAACAACAATCCATCCCGAACTTGGTGATTAAACAATTAGTTCATAGATTAGATATTGATGATTAAATAAAAAATATTAACTAAAAAAACAATTCAATTACAAGACTATCAAGTTTTTTTTAAATAAAACTAAAAATTCATTAAACAAAAATGTAAGCTACACCAAAGACCACACAACCTAAACATAAAAACTCAAAGGATATGAAGAAAAATAAAATCAAAATATTCCATTGAATACAAGTTTCATCTTTCATAAAACTAGCAACTATCAATAATCTCCACATCACTAGTCAACTTAGAAGCAATATCGATTGGAGTGGCGATTGAGAGAACCAATCTAAAAGATTACTCCGCTAACGATTCCGAATACATCGACAATTATTGCAAATGAGGATCTAATTATACAAGATCGTTGACCTTTTCTGATCATGAGATACTCGTGCTGAATGCAACTCAAAACGCCAAACTACATTTGATAGATAAAATTGTGTCATAGAAATAGATGAACGTCCATGCTATAAGCAGAAAAAAACCAATACTTCAAGAATATAACAAATTAAAGAAATCAAAATGAGATGATATTTTTTTAGATCTAAATAAAAATAAAATAAGTAAAAAAAACCCAACAGAGGGGACAATACTAGATCTCCGCATAAGGCAGCACCTTGAAAGAAAACTAATAGAATTGTATATAATTCCTTTTCATTTTATATAATCACTTAAATTTAATGACTAAATAAAAATAAAATATATTTTCGGTGATTTGTTTGTAATTTTGTTTTTAATGACCAAACAAGAAATATATAGTTAAGTGATCATTTGTTTAGTTTACCACATTAAAATATTATAATTAAACTTTATTAATTCTAATCGGTTGTAAGATTCCATATTAGGGAGAATTTAAAAAAATTGAGAGATAATAATATTTTTTAATAAAAAATATTAAAAAATTAAAAATAATGTCCGTACACATCTACTAGCGTCCATCCGACTCTTATCTGGAATTAGAAATAAAGATGGCCCCATAAAGAACCACCGAAACAGAGGAAGATGAATATTAGCCCCAATGTGTTTCAAAGAAATGGGCCATAATTATAAAACAGGTAACTAGGTAACTAGTTACTAACGTTATAGATTTAAAAATTATAAAATAAGATAAATATATTTTCGGTCTAATCGATTTTGGTCATTAATTTAAAATTAAGGGTATGGACTCCAATGTTATAGATTCATTCGATTTTAGTCCACAACGTTATCGATCTATTCGATTTTAGTTCCTCAACTGTTATTCTGGTTTGATTTTAGTCCCTCAACTATGTCACATATTCATTAAGGGTTAATGGCAAAAGGACTTAAACCAACGGATCGATAATGTTAGGGATCATTTACCCTTAATTTTTAAATCGGTGACCAAAACGAACATGCCCTAAACAAAAGGGACTATTCACATAGTTACCCTATAAATATAGTATTAATTATTTAACATTTATCTTTACTTAAATATCTAAGATGATGGCTTTGGTTAGCAATTTAAAATTAAGGGTACATGGTCCTCAACGTTATCGATCCGTTCGATTTTAGTCCATAATTTATAGATCTATTCGATTTTAGTTCCTCATGTTTTAACTCCCATTTGATTTTAGTCCCTCAATGTCACATTCATTAAGGGTTAATGACAGAAGGACTCAAACCAAATTGATCGATAACATTAGGGATCATTTACCCTTAATTTTTAAATTGGTGACCAAAATCGGGCAAGCCCTAAACAAAAGGGACTATTCACACAGTTTATCCTATAAAATATAATATTAAATTAATTAAGGATAAACTATGTCAGTAGTCCCTTTTGTTATAGATCTGACAAACTTTGGTTACAAAAAAATTAAGGGGAAATGGTACCATACGTTATCGATTCGTCCGGTTTAAGTTACTATGCTACTAATTTTATTAAATCCCCTTTTATTTTAAGTCTTTTTTGTTGAAGTCACTAACATGGTTGAGAGACTAAAATCGGACATGCCGATAACGTTAGAAACTGAAATCGGACGGACCAATAATGTTAGTAACAATTTCTCTTTAATTTTTTTGATGACCAAAATCGATCAAATAGAAAATATGGGAGACTATCGGTATAGTTTATTCATTAATTAACGTTTATCTTTACTTAAATACCTAAGATTGAACGTCCCACTTAGTGCCGACAGCAACTTCGTAGAAAATGTAGAGTCAAAAGTTCAAAAGTCTCGACACGTGTAACAAGCTGCATTAAAGTAGTGTAATCAACAGCAATCAATCATTTTACTCGTCAGAGAAAAAAAACACAATGGAGACGAGAGAAATGATCAATCCCTCATCAGTTTCAGTTCATCCCTAATAAGCACGGGGCGGTAAAGAAGGTCCGTTTCAAGTATTCGATATGTTTTTGGCACAGGAATAGTACGGAGAGGGCTGGGGTACGTATTGGGGATGTGCCACGGTGATAAGGAACGGCTGATTGAATTCGGGATGGTCAAAGCTTATCCGGGATGTTTCGGGGATGTCCCAGGAATAATTTTGATGATGTTCCTCGACTCAGCGTGGATTCGACGCTCATCGACAACGAAGGCATGACTGTTCATCCCACGGATCCGTCCCCTCTTGTTCTGTTCTTGCTTCTCTTCTTGGCAACCTTATGCCAGTTCTTTAGAGACTTGGCCATTTGCTCCTCGAATATTAATTTTTTCATATGACTCTGTAACACGACCCACGACGGCAACGGATGAGAGCCAAAGCTTGTAGGTTTCATATCAACACAGCCTAGACGGAGAGGGTTGGAGTTACAACATGGAAGCTTTTGGACGATGGCCAGTGATCTATATACCTTAGATCAATAAGAATGGCGACGAAACGATTGTGGACGAACATTCGTGAAAAAAAAACGAAGGAAAGAAGAGGAAAATAAATAGGGGAGGCGCGTCTGAACCTTAGAATAAAGTTAGGGATTTGTGATTATAATAAAAATGGATAATCTCATAGTTAGTCCTCAAATATTCTAGGGTTTATTAAAAAGGTTACATAATTTACAATAATTATAATTTGGTCACATAAATAATTTAGAGATTTAGGCCAAAATTCTCAAATCTTAGGGTTTCAAATTTTTATGAAGTATGGACTTATGAATTTTATTTTTTAATATTACAATTTACTTATGGATTTTATTTTCTAATTTTTTTGTGAAATATTAATTTTATTTATGATTTTTTACATCTATTTATAATTTAATTTTTAGTCTTACCCTTGATGTCTCCGTAAATAGTAATTTTAAGATTATCGTTTTCCGTCCCGTATCCGTATAGTGCAACATAGTTTCATCCATGGAGTATGGTGAAAATAGCAAAGACAAAGGAGTAAAAAGGGAGGAGATCATCAAAGAAGTGAAGAAACAGCTACAGCTGTCGGCCCCTTTAATAGGTGAAGCTTGTTGCTGTACTACTTACAGTTGATCTCCGTTATTTTTGTGGGTGATTTGGGTGCTGTAGCTCTTTCGTCTGCTTCGCTGGCCACTTCTTTCGCAACCGTATTGGGGTTTAACTTGCTGGTAAGCAGAGATTAATGCATGATTTTATGTTAAGGGAACGAATTTATAATTATTTTTCTTGTATTGTGACAGATGGGAATGTCAACAGCATTGGACCCTATGTGGCCAATCATACGAGGCGAAGCAGTATCGAATGCTCGGCACGCACACGCAACAAGCCATGGTTGTTCTTTCGCTGATCACCGTACCTTTAGCTATCGTTTTACCCAATGCCTATTCGATCCTGGTTGCCCTCGGCCAAGACCCTGAAATTTCTCGAGCAGCAGGAGCGTACGCTCGTTACATGATCTCGACCCTGTTTGCTTATGCCATCCTTCAATGCCTTCTCAGATTCCTAAGAACACAGAACACATATTCCCAATGGTGTTGAGCTCTGGGGTCACAACTTTAGTACATATTCATGTGTTGGTTCTTGTGTTTAGAGTTGGGCTTGGGAACACAGGTGCGGCTCTGGCTGGTTCCATTTCTTACTGGATCAGTGTGTTGATGTTGGCGTTTTATATTAATCTCTCACCCTCTTGTGCCCAAACTTGGACTAGCTTTTCAAGAGAGTCTTTGCATGAGATTGTGCCCTTCCTTTGACTAGCTGCTCCTTCAGCTGTAATGGTATGGTAAGTCGATCCGACACAGTCCGATTAGGGTTTCAAATCGCGGTCACGTTTTCGGTTATTTCGGATTTACCGTGATTGCTATTGCGGCCGGGTAACTCGGAAGGCAGCGAAACCGCTATATCGCGGCCGAAATCGCAGTCGCATACCGTTTTTTAAAACCCTGAGTCCGATATTGAAACATGCAAATGAACTATTAAACCTTTTATGTTTGTCTCTGCATTGAACAGCTTGGAATCATGGTCATTCCAAATACTGGTGTTCCTGTCGGGTCTTCTTCGGAATCCGGAGTTGGAAACTTCTGTGATTACAATCTGGTCAGTTTTTTAGATCCGGATTCGATCAACATATTCTTCGTTTCACCCGAAAAATCTTCAGTTTATGTTCAATGTTCACAGCATTAATACCACTTCAATCATTTTGATGATACACTTTGGACTGAGTAGTGCTGCAAGGTGAGTTGATAATGGAAACCCTTGTTTACCAGCGTTTTAATCTTAATGTAAAGCTAATGAGGCTTTGGTTTGATGACAGTATTAGGGTGTGAACGAATTAGGAGCTGAAGATCCAAAAGCCCCGGTTGGCCGTGCGTGTAGCCCTGGTCCTGGCAGTGGCTCAGGCATTTGGTGGGATTGGCACTGATGCTGATGAGCAATGCTTTGGGATACGCTTATGGTAACGATGCACGAATTGTCGCATATGTCTCAACCATGATCCCAATTCTTGCTGTATCCAATTTGGTAGATGGAGCTCAATGTTCTTTCAGGTTTTCTTCTTCGAACTTGGGTATATCATTATTCTCTTGGATCGAGTAATGAGAAACTCGATGCCCCGTTTAGGGGTTCAACCCGGCTCAACTTCGGATTGTGACATCTTTGTGAACATTTTAGGCATTGCAAGAAGATGTGGTTGGCAAAAGATTGGTGCATACGTGAACCTCGGATCTTATTATATTGTTGGCATCCCTTTGTCTATTGTATTAGCTTTTGTCTTCCACCTTGGCACCAAGGTAACATTTTCTCTTCATTCGATCCGATTGACTCGATAATTTGAGAACGTATGATGCAATTAATCCGCTTTATCAGGAATTTTTTTATAGGGGCTTTGTCTTGGTATCAGGGCTGCACTCTTTACTCAAATGATGTTTCTTTTGATCATCACAGCACGCACTAACTGGGAACAAGAGGTGAAAAACCATCAATTCTCTCATTGCTGCAATTTCATCACTGTAGCTTTGCTTTTCAGCACAAATTTACAAGCTTCATTTGTCGAATTTTTCAGGCTAAAAAAGCTATGCAAAGGGTTTTCTGAATCTTAAACACTCGCAGAGGCTGACGATGCTGTATCGTGTAGCTCGAGTAGAGTTCAAACTTTGTTGTATATTACAGTTTAAGAAAAGAGTGTGGAATGTATATTTTGCATACTATGAATACAGAATTTCAAAGAAGTATATTCAAGTAGTGACACTGGTGCACCGGCACCAAAACGCAGTTCCTCCGCTTCTTCCTCGAGCGACGGCGATTTCCTCGTCGATATAGAACCAGATAAAGAAGGGATACTTGGTGGTTGGTTCTCTATCGTCTTTCTGGCCAAGACCGATCTCTAAAGGGTTAAAAGGTCAGATCTTAATCCGGATTCGTTCGAAAATGAAGGACAGAATTCTGTTCTTCCATGAAAATCTTCCTTCAAAAGTAAGGAAACCGATTGGTCCAACAATACTCCATTCTCAATCCTCCTTGCCTAACAGTTTTCAAGCAGGGATCCATTAGTCTCTAAATTAACACGCATCAAAGGAACAAGAAAACAGCAGCGCAAAAATTAACAAGCCATATCTGTACTGAGATTTTTCACCATACTGGAATGTCCCACTCTGAAACATCGATTTAAATCGAACATAAGCATGAATGGCCATTAGACATGCTGATAGCATGATTTCATCACATTTCATCGGCTAACGAACGAAGAATGATCCTACAGACACATACATACACAAAGAACCTATGGTTGTAAACTAAACTTTAAGCAAGAATTTAGCAAACAGCACACCTTCAATCATTATTGTTAAGCATACAAGAGGAATTATGCAAATCGAAGCCGTCGCCTTCTATCTTTGCTATCCTTGTTCACTGAAACTGATTCCACATTTCCTATTATCGAATACTAAGCCACACATAAAAGAATGTTGCAGTTTCGTTGCTGTATGAGTCATATCCAATTCAAGCAGCCAAAATTTAATGTGATATTGAGAGAAAAAAGGGAAGGGATTTAAGAGCTTACAGCAGCATCGAACCTCTGAACCGCCGTAAGAGGGAAGTATCGACCACCTTTCAATTGTTCCTCCACCCAATTCAATCGGATATCACTCAACAAGAATAAACCATATAAAAACGAAGATAGGAATCAAACGAAAACCTTAGCAGTGAAAATGAGCATCCAGGTTCTACCAGGAGATTCCGATCCACCAAGAGTTCAAGACACCCAGAAGGATCAATCTTGGCCTTCTCGATAACAGAGAAAGCCGATAAAATATCCTCAGCTGGGACTTCCTACTTTTTGCTGCATTTTTCAATACTTTGACGCACTCAACTTCCTACATATTAAACAACACACAGAACGCAAAAAACGAGTTATGATAATCAATTGCATATATCATGATTATCATCCTCTATCATGAGCAGTTTAATTAAACGAAAGCATCATACTTGGTTTGGCTCCTGCTCTTTAATGAGCATTGAGTTCTTGTCCTTCTCGTCGAGGTTGGCTCTGGTCCTTTCTTTGAAGGAATTGGCATGCTTGAGTGGCTGTAAGAAGGTTTAAAAGAGACTGATTGTGAAGAAGATGAACTGAATGCATAGCTGCTTGAAGGGGAGAGGGAAAGGGATGATAATGCTGCTGCTTGAGTGCCCATTTCGAGTGGTGATTGCTTCTTTCCTTGTTCTTCCTTTGGAAATTAGAGGCTACCATTTTCCCCTTTTTTTTCAGATTTCCCACGTAATTGAGTGATGCTATATTTTCATAAAGGCCAAATTCTATATAAGGTGTTAATATTATGCATTGTTTTTGGATTTAATCCTAAGATTAACTTATTTCATTATTTCCTTCCTCAATGTATATTTATTTAATTTTAGTATCTATCTTTTTAGTACCTAAACTATCATTTCAGACAAGGTATTAATTGGAACAAGACCAGATATTTGAAGGAACTAAACATCTGTAAGTTCTGACAAGGATAACCAAACAATATAACATATGTATGGTTATAAAGATTCGAAGCATTGCCGAGAAAATTCATTCACATAAAGATTTAAGAAAATGTTTATCTTCTTCTAGATTTCGTCATACATGAGGAAGAAGACATCAAAATGTCTTCCTTTATATCAATTGATCGTATGATCGTATATCTAAATTATAAAAATTCTAAATTTATGAATGTTTTTATGTCTTATTTGGTTGAAAATGACTCTATAGTTGTGAAAAAAAAAACATTGAAATGGGGTGTAGAAAAATTATTTGATTAAGTGGGAGTAAAATTACCCATCAAATGCATTATTCAATCTTTCCTGACTTGTACTTTTTTGACATCTTTTCCCCCTTAATTTACGAATATTTGTTATGAAATGCGAAATTACTGTACGGGAACCATGGTTAAATTGTCTTGTTAACGGTAAAAGAATAGGAGCACACTAGCAGAAAGCAGTAATTAATGGTAATCTCGTGGGTTGGACCTGCACCATTTATCATGCCCTTATCAAAACAGAACATCTTATGAGCCGCTTCCCGAGAAAAAAGGTAAAGTTTACCAATGGCCAATAATATTTCGTTAATTTTCTTTTTACCACTAAAGTTTTAAAAGCTATATAATGGTCACTAATATTATGTATCACAGAACGATCACTTTATCATTAACCGTCGTTATCGATTATATAATATGTAACCAAAATATTATCTAATTTAAATCTTAACTGTTATTAAAATACCAATAAATTCTTCAACAATTATTTCACATTTCAATGATTTATCTCTTCTATCAATCTCTATTTTTAATGAAGGGTCTAATTGATATTCTAATAATAGTTTACAATCAACTAGATATTGTTTTTATAACCTGTTGGTTTCTCCCCCAACTGCTGTGCTCTTTGTGACTTGGAATTCTTGTTTCTTTAGTAGGGTTGAGAAGATTGGGTAGCTGAGTCAAACTCGAACCAACTCGTCCTTTGGGTCCCTTTTCTAGGGTTGAAGGTGGGTTGGGGTGGAGCTCGTTGAAGTCCAAAGAGGGTCTTGCGAGGTATATAGAGCTGCTAAGCTATGGATCCAAGCCCTATCTTATCCCCACTTGGAAAGATAGGATCTTCGGCTTCCGTGTCTCAGGAGCTCCTTACCCTATAAGTCAGATCCCTGTTTGGATTGAAGGGAGATCTACAGTCTTCTCTTTTCTTCTTCCATACATGCAAGCAAACCTTCTTTATTACATGTCTCAAGAACTCCTTTATGCTGTATGGTTGTGTTTTTTTTTCATTGAGTTATGTTTTTAGTAAACCATGACCTAACTTCCAACACATCTGAGTTACTATCGTGACAGCAGATTTGTGCAGGAACAAGTCGTATGAATGGCCGAAGGATCTGTCGGGATATCTTGGTTCTTTTTAATTTGGTTCAGTGATTATCAACTTGAATTATCTTTTATCATGTGTATCTGTAAAATAACTTGTGGCTTTTGTTTAATCTTGTGTATCGAGTTTTTTTTTATATAGAATTGTATTTTTTGAATGTGTAAATTGAATCAAATTAGTTTATTACTGATATCGTAAAAAGAGAGGGCGTAAATTAGTACATAAGTTATTATGTATATATGTAAAACTGTTTTAATACCTAAATTTTATTTTATTTTAAAAGATCATTAGCATTTTTTTAAAAATATTGATGTGAAATTTTGAAAAAAAATAATATTTTAAATATTAACCTGGATTAAAATGAATAAGTTAGGAATTAAACATGTTAAGTTTTTAATAATGTGATACAGTTAGGGGTGTAAACGAGCGAGTCGAGCTCGACTCGAAAAATTGCGAGCTTAAAATTTTTAAGTTTGATTCGAATTCGAAATTCTAAATTGAAGTTCGTGAGCAGCTCGAAAAGAAAAAAAAATCTTAAACTTAACTAAATTAAAGTCTCAAACTCGAATCTAAACATTAAATATATGAAAATCTTACTGTGCTTTTTTTTTTAAAATCAACACATAAATATTAATACTATTAATAATTTATTTTAAAAAAATAAAATCTCAATATATTATATTTTCGAGCTTTGAGCTTTTCGAGTTGAGTATCCTATAGCTCGTTTCGGCTCGTTAAGAATTCGAGTCGAGTCTATTCGATCCGAGTATTTATCGATCATTGACTAAGTCGATCTCGAGTAAATCGCAATCTATCTTGTCTCATTTACAACCTTAGTGATACTAAAATAAAATAAAATTGTATTAAGTATAATTTTAAAAAAATAAAAATTAAAATATTAAAATATTTTAAAACTAATAGTTTATATATTAAAGGTATAATTTACGTAAAAAATATAATTTTAAAATTGGAAGAAGATATCAGCGTGTACGAATCTTTGAGGCGATGTGCGGTGGTAAAAAGAGATGTAAATGATGAGCGGTCACATCAACGTCGCTTTTTTTTATCAAAGAAAGTCTGCTCAAAAACTACCATTTACTAATTTGAAGTTCATTTATATACATTAAAATAGGTATTTCATAATTGTTACAACTAAGGTGATATTACTTGGAATAATTGTTATAAATTTTAAATATAACTTTTAAATCAATAAGAAAACATAGAAATAAGTAGATATCGAAACACATGCAAGTGACTGCTGTAGCTTTGAATCAGTGTATGTGCTTAGATTTTGTTTCAGTCATTTCCAAATTCAAACAACAAGTACATCCACAGCTATTGATTCCACTATGTGTCGTTTCTGGTTTGCTTTTTATGTTGTAAAAGTTGAGTTCAAAAAAACATGTTGTAATAAAAGTTTACAGCCAAAAGAAAATTTCTGTCTCGGATTAAATAATTTTTGGTTTTTGGTTAGGAAAGACAAAATAATGTATTTATTAAATTTTAGGGTAATTACAAATTTTAAATGAATTTTGCTATCTTATTTTAATCATTATATTTTATTTTTTAAATTCTTCACTGAAAATTAATTAATTTTTTTTTGGTCACTGGACGTTAAATACTTAACGGCGTTAAAATGGATTGTTTATAAATACAAAACGATGTCATTTTATTAAAAATTATTTTCTTAAACATCATTTTATTCCGTTAACTATTTAACAGTGTTATCAAAATGGGGGAGAGAAACTTCAGCAACAACAATAAAAAATTAATGTATTAAGTTCAACGGAAATTAAAAATTTTAAAGTTAGTGAGCAAATAAGAGAATAAAATTCAATAATAAATTTATAATTTACCCTAATTTTAATTTGATTCGTTTTAGAGGTATGAAAACAATTTTAAGCACGATTTAGGATCAAATTTGATTATAATACGCTGGATCATTTTAGTGTCCATTTCCATCTTTATCTCTGATTAAGTGGTGCCAAATGATATTTATTTTTTATTAAATATTTGTTGATATATTAATTACTTTATTCAGCTCAATTTAATATATAAGATTCTATTCTATTACGGGCCAAACAAGTAATAACAAAATCTTTTATATTTAAAAATTCTATCAATTTAATCTTTAATTTTCTTTTATGAATATTAAATTTTTATTATCTTTATTATAATAATATCAATTAAATCTTTGGTTTTCTTTTATGAATGAAGTCTAATCATGTTTCTCTCTTTCTTTTTACAAATCTTATTTTTTAATTTATCAAATATTCTTTAATTCTTGATCTTCTCCAATCTCAATATAATGATACTCTTAATCTTCTCCAATCTCAATATAATGATAACATCATATGTTATTCTTTATTTTTAATTTATTATTCAGAATAAAACTCTATAACATAATTTATACCCACATTTAATTTTTTAGTCTCTTAATTGTATTTAAGATGTTTTCTTAATAAATCAATAAAATTAATGTTCGAAAAAATTTAATAATTTTTCTATGACATTAAATTAATTGTTTAAAGTAATAAATTATATTTTCTTTCAATCAAAGTCTATTTTTTATTTTCGCTTAGGTTTCGAAAATGTTCTAGACAACTTTGATATATCTTAATATCTATTTATTATTTTATAATGAATGGAATTATCCAACTGATATTTTAATTCGAAAGACTCAGCTAAGTTGACAATATTACAAAAGGGTAACGAAATCATTACAACTATGGCTTCATTGACTGAAAGCCAGATTTATTTGAAGCAAACATCTAGTTTTTTTATTAGCTGAAACTAAATGGATAGTTGAATTCAATACTCAACATTACTCGAGTGCTTCTCTACGACTTGCTTTATGGCGTTTGATGCTTTCATAAGTAGAATGAGCCGCCATCTCCTTTAGCCAGGCCAAACGACCTTCGAATTGTAAGACAACATGTTGATCTCATTGCATAAAGATATGCAAGAATCACATACCGCAGGGCAGAAACTAATACGTAACCATTTCCACCTTTCCCTGATTCTGAACCAACTCGTCAAAGTCTGGGGACCGGGGTTACCTACAACCCACCGACCGTGAGCCACCATCTTCCCGACGAAGGGTCATAGTCGTCGAGCTTCCACGTAGTCGATGTTTTGCAGTCAGGGTCCGCACCGGGGACGAACTGTATGTTTACATCGGTGGATTCATAGACGGTGGTTTCGTTGTAGTCGGGATAAAATAACACCCGCACGCCAAGTTGATTTCCGTTTAGGACTACGAGTTTTGGACATGGTTTTTCAACCGAGCGTGACGCGAGGGCAGCACCACCGGCACCCTGTATTGTTGAAACAATATAGTATTGAACGCCTGAGCGGAGCGCTTTGCCCTCGGAATCGAGCACAGCCTTCCTTGCGGCGTTGGCTACCGATGAGAAAAACGAACTTGTTGACAAGAGAAAGAAGAGAAATGAAACTGCAGGTGGCATGGTTTTCATGGCTTACTGCTTTGGATGCTGGTTGCTTAGGCTTAGATTGATGCTCCAATTTATAGAGGATGGGTTAAGAAATACACTGCACGAAGCTTGAGAGTATAGCGCGTGTGGCATGAGCAGGAAAACATGTGCTCAAATAATTGTGGTAGGTGAAACTTATTGACTTAAAGTAAATATAAATCCTTCAACTATGCCATCTTTTTGTTTTGGTCCCTAAACTACTTTTTGGTCAAACTAAGTACTTAAACTATTATATTTAATCATTTTAAGCCCTATCATTTTTTTTACTTTTGTTTTGCTAGGCAAGATGAATTTTATTAACAGAAACAAGCCAATAAGATGTTAACACGTCACACAAAAATAGGTACTTATTTTGATTAAGAAAGTAGTTTAGGGGCTTGAAGCAAAAAAGAAACATAGTTTATGGACTTATTTTGACCAAAATATAGTTTAGGTACTTAAAGTGGTTATATATAATAGTTTAAGGACTTATTTTGACTAAAAATAGTTTAGGGGTTTAAAGCAAAAAATGAGTATAGTTTAGGGATTTTTTTAGTTTAAGCCAAACTAATTTGATTAAAAGTTGACCAATTCATTGAATTATTGTTATTAAAATAACGTTTAAAGCATTTAAAAAACAATAACGTTTAGTGCACGTGCTCAGATAATAATCTTTAATTCATTTTAGGGTAAATTACACAAATGGTTACATTTTTTTAAGTTTTATAAACGTATGATCACTGGATTTAAAAAAACATAATTCGTAGTCACTTTCATTTTGTTTTAATTAAGTTTTGATCACTGAGACATTAAATTCCGTTAGTTTGATGATGCGACACGTTAGTAAAATGGTTTAATTTTTATTTTAACCCCTAAAATTTAGATAAATTACTAATTATAGGTCTTTTTGTAAACCCAAAATGATTCAGAGATAAAATATCAAGTTACCCTTTTTTTCATATGTTTTATTCCCAAAACTTATCGTCTCCGCCGCCTCTTCCCCTGCTTCATCTCTTGGCAGGTGCATCAACTCCTAGAACAGGGTTGAATTGAACCCCAAGCTTTTTTGGCTGAGCATTTTGTTGAATCAAAAACCTAACCCCCTCCACTTCAAACAACCTTCCCATTTGTCTTCCCTATGTAAACCCGTCTCTCTCGGTCAAACACATTGTCTAAATGGAAACAAAAGGTAAAAGCTTTTCAGCTATGGAGAGTTTGAAGAATCACTGTTTTTCCATGGTTTTCCTTGTCATTTGTTCTGCAGCATTGTCCTTGGCGCTTCCCCAAGTTCAAAGACTTCAATTTGTCGTATGTATTCTTTTAATCTACTTCAAAATTCATTAATTGATGCTGTTTCTAGTAAAAGGAAGTGACAGTGCTTAGCATGAATGGAACAGATTCAAGAAACCAGTGAAGAGGTTGTGCAAGACTCAGAACAGCATCACCGTGAACGGCTTGCTTCCCGGTCATACTTTCCAATATAATGCCACTGATCTTCTTCAAATAGGGATGTACGTATAATTTTCCGGGAAACTTATAAATTTTAGAAAATAAAATCAAATTTCAATCGAAAATATAAAAAATTAAACATCTAAAATATACAAAAATTTTAAAATTTTAGGAAGAGATCACCCACTTCCCTCTGAGTCCATCTGTGGGATCAAAGGTGACCAGCCACCAGCTCGATACTACATGGCAGCTCTTGCCTACCAAATAACCAAAGCGCCAAAAAGGCACCCTTCGACAACACTACCACCACTGCAATCCTTGAATACAATATGCACCTCGCCCTGCCAAAAAGGCATCAATGGATCCAAACAAAATGACCACTTGCGCCATTAATTTAATTAGTTCACGCCACGCGTTAGACAATTGGCGGAGATAAATTTCAATACATTCTCGTCTGAACAACATTCTAAGTTAGGTAGATAATAAAGGCTTAATACCAAAATAGAGTTTAAACTTTATATTTTTCTTGAATAGGTGCTTAAACTATTTTTTGACTCATCTTAGTATTTAACTTTTTTCTCGTTACCATTTTAGGTGTCTAACGTTTTCTTCGTTATCATTTTAGGTGTCCGGGGGCGTTAACTCTATTAAAAACTCGTTAAGTGACACATGTCCCCTCTCCCACCCCGCCACATTTCCCTTCTATTTCGCCGTGCTCTCCCCATCATTCCCTTCGTCTGTGCTCTCCATCATCCACATCTTCAATTAAATATTTTGAGTTGAATTTTATTAGTTTATGGAAGGTTGATAGGTCACATGTCGTTGGGTGTTCGGTCGATTGACATTATTGATGCGGCCGGCGTGGCTAAGGAATTAAAATTAAAGTGTTAAAAGTTTTTAGTTTTTTTTAAAGTTTTAAAAAATTAGGTTTTTTTTTTAAAAAAAATTATATTTTTTATTTTAAATAAAAATTTTAAAATTATCCCAACATGACATGTGTCAATTAACATAGTTTTTTTAACATCAATTAAGGACAAAAATACCTAAAATAGTAACGAAGAAAATGTTAAAACCGAAAATGATAACATATAAAACATTAGACACCAAATGATAAGAAAAATAGTTTAGACACCTATTCGAGAAAATAATATAGTTTAATACTTTTTTGGTATAAGACATAAGAAAAAAAATAATATTCAAGTTAGGTAGAATTCTTGATACCTTTACACAACAATCTATATGTTGATCAAGAAGGTTCAAGATTTCGTTGTTAGACATATTTTAGTCTTATTGTACATATTATATTATTATTTATGTTAATCTATATGTTTATTCTATCAATCTAGCCTTTATTTTTTTATGAATGTTATATTATTTTTCTATTATAATAATTTTTTAACATCTATGTATTATTTCATAATAAATGGAATTATCCAACAGATATTTTAATTCTAAATATTCAGCCAAGTTGACAATATACAAAAAGATAACAAAATCATTACAAATATGGCTTCATTGACTGAAAGCCAGATTTATTTGAAGAAAACATCTAGTCTATTTATTGGCTGAAACTAAATGGGTTGTTGAGTTAATACTCAACATTACTCGGACTGCTTCTCTACAACTTGCTTTATGGCGTTTGGTGCTTTGAAGAAGTAGAATGAGGCGCCATCTCCTTTAGCCAGACCCAAACGGACCTTGGAATTATAAGAAACCCTATTGATCTCATTGCATAAAGATATGCAGGAATCACATACCGAAGGGCAGAAACCTAATATGTATCCCTTTCCACCTTTCCTGATTCTGAACCAACTCGTCAAAGTCTGGGACCGGGTTACCTACACCCCCACCAAGCGTGAGCCACCATTTTCCCGATGAAGGGTCATAGTCGTCGACCTTCCACGTGGTCGATGTTTTGCATTCAGGGTCCGCACCGGGGACGAACTGTGTTTACATCGGTGGATTCATAGACGGTGGTTTCGTTGTAGTCGGATAAAATAACACCGGCACGCCAAGTTGATATTCGTTTAGGACTACGAGTTTTGGACATGGATTTTCAACCGAGCGTGACGCGAGCAAGGCGCCACCGGCACCCTGTGTTGACACAATATAGTATTGAACGCCTGAGCGGAGCGCTTTGCCCTCGGAATCGAGCACCGGCTTCCTTGCGGCGTTGGCTAGCGATGAGAAAAACGAACTTGTTGAGAAGAGAAGAAGAAATGAACTGCAGGTGACAAGGTTTTCATGGCTTACTGCTTTGGATGCTGGTTGCTTAAGCTTAGATTGATGCTCCAATTTATAGAGGAAGGATTAAGAAATAAAATGTATGAATAGTGGCTGAAATTGGTGATAAAATTTAGTGGAATAATTTAAAATTTTAAAAAATCTAGAGATTTAAATTAAAATTTTTAAAAATTTTGAAAAGTTCAATTTTATTTTTTTTAAAATAATTGAAATATAACTAATATTTTTTATATTTTGAGAGACTTAATGAAAAATTTTAAAAATTTTAAAAAAAATTTAATTAAAAATATTTAAAAGTTTAAAACATAATATGGATTTCTAAAAAATTTATGAACGTTGAATTAAATATTTTAAATTTTTTAAAAGTTTAAATTATAATATTTCCTATTTTTTTAAGACCATGGTCCCATCAGTCCCTATTATCTTTCGCGACTGTGCATGAAGCGAAAACACGTGACCAATAATAATTTAATTCATTTTAATTAAGTTCACGCCACCCGTTAGATATTTGGTAGGAGATAAGTTTCCCTTCGTTTCTCGTGTGAACAACATTCAAGTTAGGTAGATAATAAAAATATAATAAATTTATTACAAATCCTTATTTTATAAATCTTAATTATAATCATTAAATTAATTTTATTAAATAATTTATTTATTGAACATGATTTTATTAGATTATATAAAATTAATTTAATATTTATAAGTTTAATTTATTTTTCATGTAATAATTAATTAATAATTTAAATATAATTTAACATAAAATTTTAAAATATCATATAAATGAAATTATTGAGATTATATATATATTCAAAATGAGTGGTGAGAGAACTTTTAAAAGAAAGAATTATTTGTGTGGGGAAAATTTTGATTTTATTAGAAATTTAGAGGAAAATTGGAGAATTTTGAGAATAGATAATTTAGAAGGAAAATGGGAATAAGGTATTTTGAAGTAAACATACTAGACATAGAAATTTCCTTTTCTTTTTTGCATAAATTTCGAATCATCTATATATCTTGTAGTAATTGAATTCGTTTATAAATTGTTGGAAGATAGACTACTACAAAACGAGCCGTTAGTACTGACTGAAAATAATATAAAATGAATTATATAAGCAAATAATCGATTAACCGTGTCGTGATAACTCACTGTCTTAGAAGCGAATTCGTTCTGATATGTGTAATCGCTACAATAGACGAACAACCCCCAGATGTTAGCACAACACTCCAAGAATTCATACACCCAAAAACTGGATTGAACTTAGATGGTATTGCTCTTCTCTCAACTCAAATAACACTTAAAGAGGAAGAGTATTTCAAGCAAAATGTCACTTGCTTAGGGATGGTATAAAATGAGTAAAGTTAACCGTTATTTATAAGCTAAATAGTGAGGGTACATAAGTCATTCCGAAGAAACAATTTAAAACTATTTAAAATTGAAATAAATATCATTTAAAAGATATGTTACAACTGAGCATTAACACAAAGCTATACCATGCCATAATCCCTTACAATGAGATTTTCCGGTTGTTTATCCATGAATAGAGTGACTTGCCATTTAAGTAACCCTTATCTTCTTACGACTTTTTTACATTAAGATATAATTCATTCATGTATATATACTAATCATTTAGTAGTTTAGTAGATATATATAAATTTCATCTACTCTGAAAAAATAATGAATCTAATTTATATATTTAAAAATTCTATTAATTTAATCTTTATTTTTTATATAAATATTATATTATTTTTCTATTATAATACTTTAATGTCTATTTTATTTTATAATAAAATGGAATTATCCAACTGATATTTTAATTTGATAGGTTCAGTTAGGGATGACAAACAGGCGGGTCGGGTGCGGATACCCCCTCCCATCCCCATATTCACATAATATTTTCAAATTCACCACCCGCCCACCACCCATGATGGGTAGAATTTTTCAAATTCACACCCACCCACACCGGTACATTATCAAATTCATCCTCACACCCACTATCCAACTATAGACGTAACCAACTAGACCCGCCTGACAGCAACATTAAGTTATACATAAGCAATAAACATAAAACAAACACATCCATCAAGAAACATAATAAAATAAACCAAGGATTATCTGAGTTAAATGTTAACATAGATCTTAAAGTACATAAAACACCATAATAAAAGACTAAAAACATAAATGACAAACACATAATATTTTGTTCTTTGGCACACATAATGACAAATCCTAAAATTATACCTAAATTTATAATAGTCCAAAATTTAATGAGTATTTAGTGAGCGGGAGGATGCAGGGCGAGTAAGGTCTCAAACCCATCACCCGCCCACTACCCTCGACAGGTACTACTTTCTAATCCACACCCGTCATCTACCCACTAATAATACTCATCTCTGTCCCAATTAGAACGAGTACGGTACGGAATCTACGAAATTGTACACGTTTGTAAGGTTCAACTAAGTAGACAATATTACAAAAAAAAAGATAACACATTCATTACAGCTATGGCTTCATTGACTAAAAGCCAGATTTATACGAAGCAAACATCTAGTTTATGTATTAACCGAAGCTAAACGGATAGTTGAGTTCATACTCAACATTACTAGGAGTGCTTCTCTACAATTCTTGCTTTATGTCGTTCGATGCTTTCATAAAGTAGAATGAGGCGCCATCTCCTTTAGCCAGACCCAAACGGACCTTGGAATCATAAGACAACTTATTGATCTCCTTGCATAAAGATATGCAGGAATCACATACTGCAGGGCAGAAGCCTAATATGTAACCATTTCCAACTTCCCTGATTCTGAACCAACTCGTCAAAGTCTGAGGACTGGGATTACCTTCAACCCCACCGACCGTGAGCCACCATCTTCCCGATGAAGGGTCATAATCGTCGAGCTTCCACGTAGTCGATGTTTTGCAGTCAGGGTCCACTCCGGGGACGAACTGTATGTTTACATCGTGGATTCGTAGACGGTGGTTTCGTTGTAGTCGGGATAAATAACACCGGCACGCCAAGTTGATATTCGTTTAGGACTACGAGTTTTGGACATGGTTTTTCCGCCGAGCGTGACTCTAGTGCAGCACCACCGGCACCCTGTATTGTTGAAACAATATAATATTGAACGCCTGAGCGGAGCGCTTTGCCATCGGTATCAAGCACGGGCTTCCTTGCGGCGTTGGCTACCGATGAGAAAAACGAACTTATTGAGAAGAGAAAGAAGAGAAATGAAGTGCAGGTGACATGGTTTACTGCTTTGGTTGCTTGTTGCTTAGGCTTAGACTGTTGCTCCAATTTATGGAGTTAGGGTAAGAAATACACTGCAGGGAGCTAGAGAGTGTAGCGCTTGTGGCATGAGCTGGAAAACAAGTGCTCAAACAAATGTGGTTGGTATAACTAATTTTAATTAAAGTTGACAAAGTCATTGAAATATTTAAAATAACATTTAAAAATTAGCTAACATTTAAAATAACATTTAAAGTCGTGCTCAAATGTTTTTTTAAAATAATTCATTGACTTGGTCAACTTTAATTAATATTAATGCTATTTTAAAATAATTCAATGACTTGGTCAACTGTAATTAAAAATTAGTTATACCAACCACATTTATTTGAGCGCTTGTTTTCCAGCTCATTTAAAGACTGTTCAAATAATTGATTTAGTAGGATGAGACATTAAATCTTTTAAGTAAGTTCAGGGGTTCGAATCCTCGCGATTACGAATGGAGCAAATTGGGTTGGGAGGGTCGCCCTCGCCTCTGCAGTACCCGAACTGAATTAGTCGGTCAATAGATCGTGATTAATTAAAAAAAAAAGTGCTCAAATAATAATTTTATTCCCTACATTTCTCGTGTGAACATTATTCAAGTTAGGTAGATGATAAAAACATAATAAATTTATTACAAATCCAATATGATAATGGATAAAATAATCAAATTAGTTAATTCTCAACACTTTCACACAACAATCTATATGTTGATCAAGAAAGGTTAAGTAATATTCTTATCTTTATTGTACATATGTTTCTTAATACGACAAACTTTTTACATATTGATGAAATTAAGATTAAATACTAAAGGGGTTAAATTGTTTAACTTCAAATTATAACCTCAAAAAGTGCATGCTAAAAATAAGTCACTTGGCTATATGCTTATAACCACCCGTATGACTGCACTTTGATATTTTATAATAAGATTTGTGTTCATGTAACTTAAGCTAATTAGTTATTCTTTTAAAATAGGGTAACTATCTTTGTTGAGGGTTTGAAAGATATGCTTGTACAAAATGTTGGTACAGGTAAACATAGGGGTGTTCATTCGGTTAAAACGGTGGCCGACCGAACCGAATTAACCATAACCGAATTAACCAAACTTTTTTTTTCTTTAACCATTAACCGAACCGAATTTTTTTCCGAACATATTAACCGAACCGAATAAATTTCGGTTAATTTCGAATTAACCGAATTTTTTTAAAATTTTCTAATTTATATAAAATTAAATATTTTTAATTCAAAAAAAGTTTATAATTAATTTAAATAATATATAATTATAAATAAAAATTTTAGATAAATTTTTTAATTAATTAATATTGATTTAAGTTTAAAAGTTATTGGATCTTAAATTATTAATTGGGCTTTAAATGGTTTGGGCTTAGCCCATATGTTATATAATATATTTAATATTTTTTAATTAAAAACAGTTTACAATAATTTAAACAATATATAATTATAAAATAAAAATTTATATAATTTTTTAATTAATTAATATTGATTTAAGTTTAAAAGTTATTGGATCTTAAATTATTAATTGGGTTTTAAATGATTTGGGTTGAGCCCATATGTTATATATAATATATTTAATATTTAAAATTTAATTTCGGTTAATTCGGTTAATTAATCAAATTCGAACCGAATTAACCGTTAACCGAATTCTAAATTTTTTCTTAACCGTTAACCGATAAAACTAATTCGGTAACCGAATCGAATTAACCGAACTAATTCGGTTCGGTCAGTTAACCGAATTAGTTCGGTTATTTGAACACCCCTAGGTAAACATGTCCATTGTCGCGTTTAAAAAGTTAGGGAAGAAGAAGCCATTTTTTAAGTTGAAAAGAATAAAGAAAAAGCAGAAGCAAAGGTAGAGTTCAAAAAAAAAGAAAAAGACAATGATTGTGGCTGAGATGAACGAAGACAAAACAAAGGCGACTTAGGGATGGTTACGGGCGGGACGGGGTGGGTAAGTTTTTTTTGCTGCTCCGACCCCGACATGAAAATGTATACATAAAATCTGATTCAGTTTCTTACCGACAAAGGCGAAGTTCCTAAGTGTTTGACCTAAGGTTGTGTCGTTATTTGGAAAGAGTAAATTTTGATGACGAAATTTCTTTTAAGGAGGAGAGAGTTGTAACACCCTAAATTACAGGTTAGTAGTTTCGGGTTTACCCCAGAGGTAAGTGGACCTTGTGAAATTTATAAATTAAGCTGTTGAGCTTAATTGCGTTGGATTTGGGACCCAAATAGTCACAAAAAGGAGATTTTTAATTAAGGGACAAAATATGAAGGACCTAAAGTGAAATTGGACCATTGTTGGTTTTGGAAGATATTGTTGAGGGTTTTAAAGGGGTTTCAGAAGTGGGTTTCCTTCCCACTTCTCTTCTCTTCATTCTTCTTCTCCATTTCTTCTTCCTTCGTCTCCTTCAGTGACTATAGCTTCAAGGTAAGAACTTTAACATTTTTATTGCTTCATCTCGTCCTAATAAAACCCTAGCAAACGTATTTTTTTAGAAGATTCAACAAGCTTTGGGTTTTGTTTGCATGAAAAAGAGGGATTTTCTCCATCCAAGCCTTGAGAAGGTTGATTTCTAGCTAAAAGAGGTTCATTTCGGGATTCAAGCATCAATGTAGTGTATTTATAATCTTTTAGAGTATTGAGGTTTCATAAATCCATGGTTTTTGTTAAGATTTGATTATTTGAGTATTTTAGGGCTTATATTTGATTTCTTAACCAAATCACGTTTTAGATGTTAGTAACATGTTTTAATGATGCCTAATGACCCTAAATACTTTACTAAAATTTTAGAATAAGTTTATAAACCAACCCTTATCGTTTGAAGTGATTTTTGAGTGATTCCCGAGCTTAAGCAAGTCATTCCTAGAAAAAGGATCGATCCCACGGGAGAAAGGATCGATCCCTTTTCAAAAGGATCAATCGATCATTCGAAAGAAAAGATCGATCCCTTCTTTGTTTTGATCGATGAAAAAGGATGGATTAGCATTCATTAAAGGTCCTAAGTGTTGTTGAATGTTCTCTGACCCGTTTAAGGTACGTAAGATCTAAGGACGATCTGTAATAGTAAGACTTAGTATGTGAGGACATAAATTATCAAACATACCTAAAAACACTCATAGGAGTAGGTTACACCGGGTGTAACCATATTAAGCGTAATACACTAGATTATCTTCAATCGAGGACGTATACTGATGGTTGGGATTGAAGATCAGTACATGAGATATCTGATGAGCTGCAAGATAAACATGTCAGATTCAGTATCGAAAAAGAGCATGGTGTCTCGAGAACGTCAGTGAACCGAAAATGGATAAGTTGTTCCACTACTTCAAGGGGTATTGGGAGAAGTACGATAATAGTGTTAGGAGTGTTGTTACCCAATAATGAGCCTGAGTCAAGTATCGGGCTAACGATTGGATCAGTCAGTGTACATCAAACACCATAATCACCAGGAAATTATGAAACTCTTAGAGACCTCTCCGGAGGTAGAAATGAGTAAAATACCCTATAAGTAATAATACCCCTCCCATAACGTCCTAGGTGAGAGGACGAGCGGGATAGTCTCAGGTGAAGAGGATATGACCTCACTTGACTTCTATAAGTTCAGTAGCGAGTGATCGAGCTACTTCGCCTGCTGTAGTGTGGCATCGGTTGATGTTTGTTAAGGCGTAGCTCTAGATGAGAGCCTTATAATAATAATGAAATAATAACATTAATTGTGTGATAACCATAAAAAGCCTTATGTGGTAAGATTCCATAAGACTTATGCCCATGTGTGTCACTCGGGAAACGATGAGGACACGTACCTGAGTAACTTTAGCATTAGGACGATCGTTTACGTACGCTATAGTCAAGGGACCATTTGCGTACTTTTGAATTCAAGGTAAAAACTTGAGCATTTTTATTGCTTCATCTCGTCCTAATAAAACCCTAGCAACCTTATTTTTTAGAAGATTCAAGCTTTGGGTTTTGTTTGCATGAAAAAGAGGGATTTTCTCCATCCAAGCCTTGAGAATGATGATTTCTAGCTAAAGGAGGTTCATTTCGGGATTCAAGCATCAAGGTAGTGTATTTATAATCCTTTGGAGTATTGAGGTTTCATAAATCCATGGTTTTTGTTATGATTTGATTATTTTAGCATTTTAGGGTTTATATTTGATTTCTTAACCAAATCATGTTTTAGGCGTTAGTAACATGTTTTAATGATGCCTAATGACCCTAAATAACTTACTAAAACTTTAGAATAAGTTTATAAACCAACCCATGTCGTTTGGAGTGATTTTTTAGTGATTCTCGAGCTTAAGCAAGTCATTTCCAGAGAAAGGATTGATCCCACGGGAGAAAGGATCGTTCCCTTTTCAAAAGGATCGATCGATCATTCGAAAGAAAAGATCGATCCCTTCTTTGTTTTGATCGATGAAAAAGGATGGATTAGCATTCATTAAAGGTCCTAAGTGTTGTTGAATGTTCTCTGACCCGTTTAAGGTACGTAAGATCTAAGGACGATCTGTAATAGTAAGACTTAGTATGTGAGGACATAAATTATCAAACATACCTAAAAACACTCGTAGGAGTAGGTTACACCGGGTGTAACCATATTAAGTGTAATACACTAGATTATCTTCAATCGAGGACGTATACTGATGGTTGGGATTGAAGATTAGTACATGAGATATCCGATGAGCGGCAAGATAAACATGTCAGATTCAATATCGAAAAAGAGCGTGGTGTCTCGAGAACGTCAGTGAACCGAAAATGGATAAGTTGTTCCACTACTTCAAGGGGTATTGGGAGAAGTACGATAAGAGTGTTAGGAGTGTTGTTACCCAATAATGAGCCTGAGTTAAGTATCGGGCTAACGATTGGATCAGTCAGTGTACATCAAACACCATAATCACCAGGAAATTATGAAACTCTTAGAAACCTCTCCGGAGGTAGAAATGAGTAAAATACCCTATAAGTAATAATACCCCTCCCATAACGTCCTAGGTGAGAGGACGAGCGGGATAGTCTCAGATGAAGGGGATATGACCTCACCTGACTTCTATAAGTTCAGTAGCAAGTGATCCAACTACTTCGCCTGCTGTAATGTGGCATCAGTTGACGTTTGTTAAGGCGTAGCTCTAGATGAGAGCCTTATAATAATAATGAGATAGTAAAATTAATTTTGTGATAATATAAAAAGCCTTATGAGGTAAGATTCCATAAGACTTATGCCCATGTGTGTCACTCGGGAAACGATGAGGACACGTACCCGAGTAACTTTAGCAGTAGGATGATCGTTTATGTACGCTATAGTCAAGGGACCATTTACGTACTTTTCCCATTATATTAATAACATATCAACCTTATTAAACCAATCTATCTATACCTTCATTCTTATCAATTATCTTTTGTGCTTTTTTATTTTGTATATACAGTAGAAACTCTTTAAATTAATACTCGGTAAATTAATAAATTCTCTAAAATAATAAATTTGTCCGGTCTCGACTTGGGCCAATGTAAAAAATTGAAAAACACGATAAAATAATAAGATAATAATTTTTTGTGAGATCCCTTTATAATTTTCGGTCCTAAGAAAATCATAAATTAATAATTCATAGAAACTGAAAAAAATATATTACACTCTATTGAAATATGATTCAATAGTTGTCTGTTTTACTTTAAAGTTCAAGTCTATTTGGAGCTCATTATTAATTTAACTCATCTCTTGCAACGTAATTCTAAGATGCATAGACTAATTTACCTTTTTGTTTGGTATGTACAATATAATTACTTAAAAACTCTTTAAATTAATAATTATTAATTTATCGATAAATTAATAACTCTCTAAATTAATAAATTTCTTCGGTCCTGACATTATTAATTTATAGAGTTTTAACTGTATACACTAACAAATTGTGGTAGTTGTAGCCAATTCGATATACTATATTACTACATGTGTTTCATTTCCTTTTTAATCATACTATATTATTATTTTATCTTATTGTAAATAATATGTTCCAAATTTGTTTATATACAAGTGTTCGATTGAGTCAAATCGAATAAAAAAATTCAAGTTATTCGAGTTAACGAGTCCTATTTTACAACTCGAAGTTGACTTGAAAATTTTTCGAGCCGAGTCAAATTTTCGAGTTTCAGTTTAAATTTAATTATAAAATTTATAATATTATGATATTATTTGATTCCAATTTAAATGGTTTTTTATAACCATATACAATACATGTATATTTCTTTATTTTTATCATATGTGATATACATTTATCATACAAAGTCGAGGGACTCAACTCAAACTTGAAAATCCCCTAATTACTAAAAAGTTCGAGTTACTATTCAAGTTATTCGAGTTGAATTTCACAACTTAGTTTGAACTTGAAATTTTTCGAGTCGAGACGAGTTTATGACCTTTTGAAATCGTTTCTCCGGACTTCTTAATTTCATTACTAAACTAACAAGGATTTCTTCTAAATTGCTTAAACCCATCATTATAAATCAACGAATCCTCGAGATTATAGAGTATATCGCAAGTAGTATCCCCTGCTTTTCTATCACTTTCCCATATACAAATCCTCGCGAAGTTGATTCGTTCCTCTGAGCTTATGCTTCCCATTCCATCAACGGACGATCATTTCCTCGGTATAACAACCAAATTCTCCCCTCCTTCAACGCAATGCTCTTTGTCGTTGTTTAACTGTTGAAGTTTCTGCATATTATCTTCGTTCCACGGTCCAATAAAACAACTCCCGTCCGGCCAAGTGACAAACTTGTTTCCCTTGGGAACTTCGTTTTCCCATTGTCCATCATAACGGTTCCCGTTATCCTAAATCAGGGTTTCGCGGCCTAGTTTGTAGCTGTAGCAGTGTTTCCAATCGACGATCCAACGATAAATGTCACCATCGGAATCGATGAATGTCCGTATCCTTCCATCACTGTAAAATTTAATTTTAATAAATGGTTAATTTTAAATAAATTCTTACACTTTTTTAATATTTACATAATAAGAACAAGTTTACTTATAGTTTGCTTATAGTGTGTTTCGGTACATCGCTTTAATGGTGCGTTGACTCATCCCTTAATTTATATATAGATATATATATAGCTCAAAACTCTTGCAAAATTTTGAGACTGTGATTAGTGCTTAAATTATACATTATTTTATGATCAATTACTCCTTTATTATTTATTTTAAGTTGCTAACTTGGCCCTTTTCGCTTATTTTCGATACATGACATTGAATTCCGAAAAATAGGTTAAAACTGACGAAATTGTACAATTTTTTATTTTCTGAATTCATGGCCGGAGTAATGGGCATGACTTTGGGCATGACATCGCTGATGTGGTGTCCAATCAGCAGCTTCTAGAAGGTCCAGTCAGTAGTGGCATGAAGACCAAAGACTCAGTCGAATTTTTGAATTCAAATTAGGATTTATTTTATTTTTATTTTACGAATTATCTTTTTAGTTTTAAATGTTATCTTTTAGGATTTTTATAGACTATAAATATCCCATTAAGGTAAGCCTCAAAGACCAACTTGATCATTCAGAATTCGTTTCTCAACTCTTGTTTCTTCTTTCTTAGTTTAATAAAGTTTTCCTTTTTTATTTTATTTTCTTTTCTAGTTTTTATTTTATTTTATTTTTAAAATGCTAAGTATGGTCTCTACCATGCTTAGCTAAGTTTTTCATAGCCGAAGGCTAAAGCAATGACTCGATTCTAAGTCTTGAGAATCGTAAAGCACATCATACCCTCAAGGGTTACATTTTCAGTTTTTGAAAATCAGGGGATCGATAATCGACTTTCCTTTTACAATCAAAGCGATTTCATTTCAAAAAGTGCATGTTGGAATTGAATTTCGGTTTTGATTAATAGTTGGGAGGAATGATCGGCCTGTGACACATTCGACTTCCTGTGAACACAATTAGCGGCAGTCTGCTAAGGGAAATTGAAATTGGGTTAGATTCTCAATTGAGATGATAGAATCCGAGTCGGGTTTTTCCAGAACTTAAAATTGTTGAATTAGTAAGTGATGGTCGCAATTGATTCACAAAAGAGTATAGATCTAAAAATTGATTTTAGATTCTCTATTCATTTGAGAGAAGAACAAGTTATAGGGTTGGGCTCTATAGACTGTAACCGACGTGAGCCCGGAGGTAAAAGTCCTATTAAAGGATCGATTTGAATCAAGGTAGAAGCTTTAGCCCAAGGCATAAGCTTTAGCCCAAGGCTGATTTAATCATATTAAATCTTCGTCTTTAATTTTATTTTTACTTTCTTTTATTTAATTAATTGTTTTCATCTTTAATTATTTCAATTTCTCATCAAACCCCCTTTTATTGTCCTTTATGTCATGCCTAAATCGGAATCAAGAGCGAGAAATTCATCAATCTTCTAGTCCCCGTGGATCGACCCTTACTTTCCTTATACTATTCTTTATTTAATTTTATTTTGAGATTAAGGCTATTTTTATTTTGACAACAGAACGACACAATGTCAGAATTGGCACCGTTATCGAGGACTACGGTAAGTTACTGATTTAATTTTCTTGTTTATGATTTATGACTAGGAAAAATACATACACATTAGAAGAATTTGATCCTGAAATCTTGAAGCACGAGCCAGACAAATTCATGGTCAAACACTTTGGGAGAAAATGAAGAAACAACAAGAGCAAGCAAATTTTGAAGATTCAACCGATGTCACATACAAGGAATCGACGGATTCCAGGCAATCCACCAATCCAATCGACGCCGATCACACAACCATTGCCGATCCAACGCACGACTTACAACATCCATAACTAATGGGAGATCAAACTATCCGCGAACTATTCGCAGCTCCTGCGGTACAACAACCACTCTGCATCATTTTCCCTCAAGGCGAAATGCCATTTCAACTCAAAACAGGATTGATACATCTACTTTCTACCTTTCACAGTCTTTCTAGCGAGAGCCCACACAAGCACTTAGTGGAATTTCATTTGGTTTGTTCAAGCACGAAACCTCAAGGGGTATTCGAAGACCAAATTAAATTACGAGCATTTCCATTCCCTTTATCTGACATAGCGAAAGAATGACTATTTTATTTACCACCAAATTCGATAAATACTTGGACTGATTTAAATCATATTTTTTCTCGACAAGTTTTTTCTAGCAGTGAAGGCAAGTGAATTAAGGTGAAGCATACTTGGAATTAAACAAAAGAACGAAGAATCGCTTTACGACTATTGGGAGCGATTTAAGAAGCTATGTGCGAGTTGTCCGCAACACGGATTGACCGAACAGAAACTTCTACAATATTTCTACTAAGGCTTGCTTCCGATGTAAATGAAAATGATGGATGCTGCTAGCGGGGGAGCTCTCGTCAACATGACACCAAACCAAGCGAGGGTATTAATTTCAACGATGACAGCCAAACTCTCAACAGTTTGACTTATCAAGTGAATCCAACCAAAGGGTTCACGAGGTAAGCACTGTTTCACTTGAAAATAAAATCGACAAATTAACTAATATCATTAATTCTCTTGTTTAAGAAAAAAACGAATCAACCAGAGTATGCGGGATTTTGTATGATGCCATACCACCAACCGATAGTTGCCCGACGCTCCAAGATGAAACAAGCACACAAGTGAATGTCATGGGGAATTTTTCGGGACCTCCCCAAAGGCCCTATAATCCCAATAGCAACACATACAATCCGGGATGGCGAGATTATCCTAATTTCAGCTATGAGCAAAAACCGAGGCCGAACCAATCTTACCAACCAACGATGCCTCCACCACAATCATACCAACCGCCAAAGACTTCACTCGAGACCCTCGTGAAACGATTGATGCAATCGCAAGAAAAATTCCAGAACAGCACAGAGTCACACTTGCAAGAGATTGACAAGCAGATCAGTCAATTGGCACAAACTGTTGGCCACTTAGAATCACACGGCAAACTTCCCTCACAAACCAAGCGAACCCACAGGAGAATGTGAGTGTCATCACTCTAAGAAGCGGAACAGTCGTCAAACAACTAGTCCGTGAGGAGATTGACACCAAATCCCAAAAGAAAGATGATGCTACAATTCAAAGAAAGAAGAAGAATCCAATTTCCGAATCTGCAGCGTCTCCATATGTCGTGCATCCTCCTTTCCCAGTGAGATTCATAAAGAAAGACAAGCAAGCCGAGGAGGAGATCCTAGACGTTTTCTAGAAAGTAGATATCAACATCCCACTCTTAGAAGTAATCCGAAAGGTGCCCAGGTCGATTGGATGAGGCCCCAAAAGCTGATCAGAAACATGCCCTTTGAACCAGATGCAGCAACATAGGGTGCTTTACTTGGTGCAAGCAGAATTCATGGCAATACCAAATTAGCTGAAATGGCTGCTGAGTTGATTTTTGAAATGGAACCTGAAAATTCAGGAATGTATGTTCTCTCAAATTTATATGCAGCTTCCGGTAGATGGGCTGATGTTAGTAAGATGAGAATGAAAATGAGGGATACCGGCGTGAAGAAAGTACCAGGGTATATTTGGCTTGAGGTGCAGAACAAGATCCATACGTTCTCGGTCGGGGACTCATTCCACCCAGATAGGGATAAGATCTATGCTTATTTAGAAGAATTGTATCTCAAATGAAGCGGGAGGGCTGTGTCTCCTCTACAAAATTGATTCTACATGACGTAAATGAGGAAGAGAAGGAACATATGCTAAGTATCACAGTGAAAAATTAGCTGTGGCGTATGGCATTCTCTCTATACCTGCTGGTCGACATATCCGTATGATAAAAAACTTGCGTGTTTATGAAGACTGCCACAATGCCATCAAATATATATCAAAGATTATGGGCCGGTTGATTATCTTAAGGGATTCAAACCGTTTTCACCATTTCAGGGAGGGTTCATGTTCCTGTGGAGATTATTGGTGACAGTGTATAAGAAGCTGTTTTAAGTGGAACAGCTAACGATTGATACCACCAATGTGCTGCATGTGGAAAGAGCCTGCCTCCTTCTGGTCTTCATCCTACAAGTGTAGTAAATCTAAGATGATCTTTTTATTTTTGTTTAATTATCATTGATTCTGTGGACTGACGTTTGCCCGTGATCAATAACGAAAAATTAATCGAACTTCTAGCTTTTTGCCATGATACTGTGTAGTGCATTTGATCTGTGTATACATCAAGGAAATGCCCGTGTAATGTACTTGGCATGTGGGACAATAAGGATAGGCATCAGCTCCTGATTTGCTTTACATCTGAATTAGCTTTAGAACCAATCTATGACGGAATGAAGTGCAAAAGGCAAAAGGTTGAATGTTGATCCTTTGCATTTTGCTGCAGAAAAGAAACTTTTCACAGGTAATTGATTTCCAATCGTGAAATATGAGACCGGGCTTCACCGTACCTAATCCTTGATCTTTCATTACTTGTCACAGGGTGGCCGTCAGTGTGCAGGTTGCTGTCGGACATTTCTCGAACATATATGGAGTTGTGTGAAGAAGCGATGGCAAGCCCGTCAAAACTCTTTAGTAACCTTTCCAAAACGATTTTGAGCTGCCCCATTCCTTCGGCACAGAAAGAAATAGACAAGTGCAAACTAATCACGTATTGAGCAGCATTGATTAGGGTATGCAAAGGTATTCATTATCGTTTTCATATATGGTTCATAAACACTTCCCACTTCCGACTGTTCCGCTGGGTTGGGGAAGCCAATATCAACTCAATTTCCTTGTTTAATCCAACTATCGCAGCATTCTTAACCAAATTAAACCGATGATTCCAACAGGAGAGAAGATCAGGTCCACATGTGAGCTAGAGATGTCCATAGATCGAATCAAACCAAGACTCTAGAAATTACAGAACAGAACAGAAACCATAACATTACACAATAGTATGCATTGTTCTCTTTTTCATTATAAGACAAATTACAACTCTTGCTTCCTCAAATGTGAAGCTACATGCCAGCCGGACTCTTCTCGTGCATTACCCGATTCTATAGTTCTACTGCTAGCTTCTGTCCGAGTAAGACGAAAAAAAGAAAATAATTTCTTTTGGTGCAAATTAATATGAATTCCCCTCTTCCCAATAATCGGGGGAAATGAGTAAAGCAGCAAGGCAACTATATATCGGAAAGCAAATTCCAAGTTTCGATCACGCATTGATAGCTGCAACCTCTCGAGACAAGGCATCCACTGTCTCATCATCGGCTTCAGCAAGTGGTTCCTCCTGCAGCAACAAAAATATATATATGGCCATAAATAAGATACATACACAATGTTCACATCGTTCCACAACAGTGTTGGTTGCAAGACAGAGAGAATAGTCTACCGTCGATTCATTTTTCTCTTTCACGACAACACATTTAGAGGCGCTAATGCTATCACTCTTCAACAGGCTACGAGCACTATTGTTGGCTTTGCTAGGGCCATTCTCCCCTACTGCATTTGTGTTCTCTGAACCGTCTGAGAACTGAGACTTCGAAACTATATCATTATTTTCAACATTGTGCTCATCCTTGGGAGCAGGAACTCGCTCTCTGAAAAAAAATAACACAGTTGATCAAGCTAATTGAATCAAGACACATACCACAGGCAAAATAGAGGTAAATTCCGCCCAATCTAAAGTACTACTGTAGCTCCTGGTTTAAGAAGTAATATGGTTCCTAAAACTTTACGAAGCATACCGAGGCAAAGAAACATGCTGTCTATGAAGTGGAGTACTTTTTTCGCCTTTACCATAATGTTCCTCCAGATGTGCAAATTGCTGCTTGAATCGATCAACACCACTAGTGAATTGAAAAGGAAAGAAATATTAATTGTGATCTGGCAGCAAATGTTTTCAAACAGACTTTCCTTAATATCCTTTTTGTGCGCCCCTCAACTGATTTGTACACTAATTAGGTTCAAACTATTGGGTAATACTAGCTTTTTCATGAGATTCCTGAAACTATAAAATTCCTTCCTATATGTACTTTCATTCCTGTATAACTACAAAAATTCCTTCACGGGTCAAGTGCTGAAGAAACTAAACCAAAACAAAGAACATAAGGGGAAAAATCGCATACATTTAAATAGTTAATCATTTCAAAGATGACATGAAATTAAGAACTTCCAATTATCCAAGAAACTATGAAAGACTTTAGACCTGAATCCCGTATTGGTAATCACATCATAATTCCCATTTATATGTGAAAACTTAAACCAAGTTACAGAATATTAAGTGTTCTCTAACCTTGGGTACATGAAGCTGGTTTGCTCCCCACCCTGAAGATACTCTTGCAGCATCTGCGGATGATACTCTAATATCTGTTCACTCAAAGTAAGAAGTTGATTAAGCTCAATGATAGATAAAAGCCACACATAAAACCAAAGTCACACATGAAAAGTACCTCTCGATAAATCAGCTCTCTGACATCATCTTTTGCCATTTTCCTTCTCTCAAACTCAAATTCTAGTTTTGAAATCGGTTTGGTGGTTGGTTCACAATCCACATTGGCCAAACCACAAAAATATGGATCAGCTAATGCCTGCAAGCGTAGTTTATTCGCATTAATGATATCAGAAGCTTGTAAGTCAAGATCTCTTGCTCAATAATCATTAATACTTGTTTTGGTGTCCTTGGTGATAGGAATTGTCATATCTTTGATGAAGTGATGCCAACAGAACTTTAGATCAAAGAAGTAGCAGTAAAGATCATCCCTTCATTCAATTTTATAGGATTTATACTTTTAATCCTTTTTTGAATACACACACAATCAAATCGATTTCAGGGTTATCTCTTGTAAAAGCATACTTCATTCCCTTGTTCATGCTTTTGGGGAGGAAATTCAAATATAACAGATTGCAATCTTACTTCTTCAGCTGTGGGGCGATCTTTTGGATCAAAAGCAAGTAGGCGCTGAAGTAAGCTAAGAGCCAGTGGACCCGCATTGGGGAACCTTTTTGAGAAAGGAACCGGTTGCTTTCTGCGCATGTTACTAAGGTACCTCCTTGCCTTTTCATTACGAATCTGCTTGGTCATAATAGATTAAGTATTGATGAGTTCTTCGGTATTTAACCTCTAGAACCTCAAAGACTATGAGAAAAAGGGAAAGAGTGTCAAATGCAAAATACAGCGGAATATTAAGAAAAGAAAATAATCAACCTTTGATATGGATTCAGCAGAAGGTGTACCAAGCAGATCAGTCATGAGATCCAATTGGTGTACCACATTTTTCCCAGGAAGAGTGGTTTTCCTAAAAGCATCTCAGCAAATATGCATCCTATGCTCCATGTATCAATCGCAGGAGTGTACTGCAGAAGGACGAAAGGCTCAGAAATTTCAATTATAGCCTAATAAAAAAATTATTTTTATATGAATACCATACATGAAAATTTGGTTCTCATTTCCAAAAGATAAAGATATAAGCAGTGACCCACCCCTTCCTCATCAAGACTTGCAACAAAAAAATACTGATGAAAGACGACTGATATGTGCACTAATAACAACAAAAGTGAGTAAATAGTCATGATAACAGGCATGGAATAAACTAGATCCGTGAATACTCTGGAAGTAAAGGCACGAACATTTGAGTGCAAATATACACAGTAAATAGGTATATGCACGAAATTCCTTATCCATCAGAAAGTAGAAGGAAGCAACCTAATGTGGTTTTCACTTTCTTTAATTCAAAGTTCAGATAAAAAACATATTAGAAGGGGGAAGGCCAGTGTGATAAAACATTCACGGGAAAAACTCCATATTTGCTGTCTAGGTAAACAAAACAGAAACATCTATTAGAGCCATCTAAGCAACTGAAAACAGAAAATAAAATCAAAAGGCCTAGTATATTGAAGATCGTCAGAACTTACTTTGGAGAAAAAAGATCCACAGAGTTCAGGAGCTCGATACCAACGTGTTGCTACATAATCCTTAATGGATTAAACCAATTTAATTTAGTATAACAGTTTTAGAGGCTTACCCTCTGTAACGTGGAAAACAAAATTTAAAGCAAAATTTGCCTTTTGATAAATACTAAGGAATCATGAAAGCATAGGCTTAAAGAATAAAATTTCATGACAGAACAACATACAGTCCAATAAATCGCCGATGGGGCATCATTAAATGATACTCGGGCAAGCCCAAATCACATATCTTCAACTTACAATCAGCATTGGCAAGAATGTTCTTGGGTTTTAAATCTCGATGGAATATATTTGCTGCAGGAATTTTTTTAAATAAAAATCAATAACAAATCCAAGGAGTGGAGGTAGGGAAGCATACTGAAAAAAACAGACCTGCATGTATATACTTCAGACCGCGAAGAAGCTGGTATAAAAAAAACTGATGGTGCTCAGGAGTTAAGTTATCGTTAAACTTAATTTCTTGATGAAGATCAGATTCCATCAACTCAAAAATTACATAAATATCTCTAAATTCTCGCCGCGATGGAGGAGCATAATATGTTTTATTTGTACAACATCTGGATGACGAAGCAACCGTAGCAGCTTGACTTCTCTCAAAATCCGGGTCGCGTCAGAGACATGATCAAATACATCGTTAATCTTTTTTATTGCAAGTTTTTCACCAGTGTGGGTGTCAATTGCGGAAGCAACAACCCCATAACTTCCTTTTCCAATGACCTCCTGAACTTGATATCGGTTTGCATCTCCATACTCGGTGAAAAATTCTTTTTCAAGTGCACCCTGTATAGCACAATTGTTTAGAAACATGAAAACTCATATTTGAAGAGGACAAAATCCAGAAGGTGACAGATGCATGTTTCGAAAATAAATACTTTTTATTTGTATTATACTAACATTGGCACTACTATAAAACCACAAAGAAATGAGGTTTAAAAATGCATGCTAGCTAAGATTAAAAAAGATAAATTTTCTACCTAAACATGGTCAATTGAAATTCCAGGATCACAGATGTAGTTTCTCAATAATAATTTCTATTAGGCTTCCAAAAAGATAGGAAATGTGTTCATACCTCTCAGCAGCTGCTATAAATAAATATATGCGCATAAACAATAGTAAACAGGGCATTGCCCCTTACTTTTCCATCAACAAAATTCAGCTTTGACTAGCAGATCGACAACCTAGACACAACTTGGTTTCCAAATTTTAGAATAAACAGAACAATCTTTGCCTGCCGAGAATAT